GAAAACCAAAGAGAGGACGTGGTCCAGTAAGAAAGGAGAAAAAGGGAATTAGGAGAGGGAAGAGACTGAGTTGAAAACGCTAAGCTCTCCCAGTACTGAGAAAACAAGTTTGAAAAGTGAAGCTCGTTTTTCAAAACAAGTGTTGAGAGAAGAAAGGAACTGCCAGAGGCAGCCTGAGAATAATGGAAGTTGCCTGTGAATGCAGCACCTGGGGGAACAAAATTCTTGTGACAGTGAAACTTCTTTTTACAACACTTAGAGTTTTTCTTTTCTCTTCTTTCTTTTTTTTTTTTTTTTTTTTCTGTTTACAGAACATCTCTTCTTGCACCTAACAGAGCTCATAATTTATCTTGCCACCCTGATCTTTTTCTAGTAATGCCTGCTACTTTGAATGTAGGTCAACGGAGAGGTGCTGCAATTAGCCTTTTTTTTTTCTGCAATGGATCTATTTTGATATGTGATGAGCAAGGGTTAGACTATCTTGACATTTACTGAGATGGGTGTTAAAATAGAAACCCATCTCAGTAAATGTCCCCTTAATCTTCTGCACTCAGTCTTGTTGGAGTCACTTTATGCGTAGCTCATTTTGAAAATCAAAGCCTTGTGCGGAATAGATGTTAACCACAGGTAAAGTAAAAGGGAGGGATGTAAGGGAAAGAGAGCAAGTGAGAGCAGATGCTCCAAACCCCTCATTCCCTTCTCCAACCTGCTTTCCATCACTCGTTAGACATTCCAGGTTGTTTTCGTTGATGTGTGTGTGTGTGTGTGTGTGTGTGTGTGTGTGGCCACTTTCAGGAAGAACTCGCTGGACCACCCAGAGGGAGGAGGGGTGTCCAGTACCCGCCGTTTCCCCCAGCAGCCTCCTACCCAGGGCTTGTGTGCCTTTAGGGGCAGTGAAAGTGTGCACTCTCCCAGGAACTGCCCTCTCCCCACACGCCTTCTCCATCCCCTTCCTCATGTTTACTGCAGACCCAGCACACCCTGGCCTGCTCTGCCACTCTGGATCCCTTCGGATTTCAAGCCCTGTAGCCAACACGGGCAAAGCCAAGGAAGGCGCCTTTGGCTTTCCCACTACAGAATGGGCACTTGTGTGCTTCAGTGGGGGCAGAACCCTTGTAGCAGTTTCAGGAGCAGGTGACAGGGCCCAGCAAGAATGGCAAGTCAGCAAAGAGTTGGCTCCTTATTCCGCATTGATTGAGAGCCCTGCTTTGAAAGGCTCTCAGCCTAATTACAAGTTTATGTAAATTTCCCTCAGCAGTCTCTAAAAGTGCCACAGTGTTCTCTAGGGTGATAACTTTGTCCTTATAACTTTGTCAGGATTTAGGTCATTTCTGCTTTGTTTTTTCAGACATAGCTCCTGTTTTCTAAGGTCGTGGATTTGGGGATTAGGGGAGGAATAAATAACAAGCTTTAGCAATTACAGAAAAACATCTTTATGTTATTCTTCGCGTTTAAGCTGCTCAAGGGTAGTTTATCCTCCATTGGTCTTTTCTTATGGATTTTTACAGGAAAAAAAATGTGTTTAAAGATCACGTAGATGCCTTGACAATCTCCACTGCTGACACGTTGAGAGATCTTGGAGGGTTTGTTTTCCAGAAGTAACTCAATCGGGCCCTTGTTCATATAAAATGTTTTTTCTCCTTTTATTTACGGTCACACAGTGTTAGGAGTAGTCGGGATGCATGGAACAGCAGGCAGGCCATTGCTGGTAATAGACGCGCCTAAGAAATAGGTTCTCAAGGCCTTAATAGCAATTGCTTCTGTCCCTTTTCCCCAATCCTATCTGCAAACCCCAGAACAAAACTTCAAAGGGAAGTAGATAAAGGATGTATTCCCTCACCATTTTGTTTTTTGAACATCCAGGCTCAAAGATGAAGTGAATTAATGTATGGCTCAGCCTAGCTGAACAAATAAAAATCACTATTCAGCCCAAAATCTATTTAGAAGATCTAACTACTGCAGGACACTTAAATTTACCCTCCAAGGATTTGGAACAAGAAATGGCAACTCATTTGGAAAATTAATCTTCATAAGCCTTCTTAGCAGCAATCAGCAGGCATTGAATAAAGAAATTTGGGTAAGGCCTGAGTTGGGTGGGGCTGTGGGTGCACATGGGGGCTTCACTGCCTTTGGACTAATCAGCACAGTTGGGAAAAGCCCCAGGCTGGACTCCATTCACGCTTTACATCCAGTTTTGAAAAGGGAAGAGGCTGTCAGAGTCTTAAAGAGGGAGCTCCTAAGGGCGTCCCAGCTTTCATGCTGCTCGAATAACATGGCTTTTTAGGAAGGATTAATAAGCAGGCTTATTAAAGGATCTGGCTCTCGTCTCTGATCCACTAAACAGATAATGAGGATTTCTAGCTATTAGAGCAATGATACCAGATCACAATTCCCAAGACATGCACCAGCGTGAAGCCACTCTGGAAACCGCCTGCTGACTGGGCAGCCATCAAAAGACCCCTAATCCTTGAAAATGAACTTGAGGTTTTCTGACCACCCACGCAACATGAACTCACTTGCCTGGAATTTAATGTTCAGCATATTCAACAGAAATTTTTGACATGAAGAAATAATAGGCTCTCAGATTTTTTTTTTTAAATTCGTATTTAGGAAAAAAATTCCTCTAATTCCAGGTGCAACCCATTAGGGATTAAGCTACGAGAGCAGCCAAGTGTGGTGGTGAACACCTGTAGTCCCAGCTGCTTGAGAGGCTGAGGCGGGACGCTTGCTTGACCCAGGAGCTGGAGGCTGCAGCAGGCTATGATCACGCCTGCAGATAGACACGGCACTCCAGCCTGGGCAACAGTGAGACCTCATCTCTAAAACAAACACAAAATGACAAAGACAGCCTAATTCAATTTCCTCTTTCCCCACCCGACAGGCTTAGGATCACAGACTGTAGGGTTCTCTTTGTTTTATAGGGATGAGAAGCTACCTGTCCTAGGCACTTAGTAAATTCGGGACCATGCCAGCACTAGAATCTGCCCAGGTGCTCCCAGACCTGGATGGGCTTGTTCCTTGCACCTAGAAATCCATGATGAAGAATAAATCATACATGGTGTCCTTAATGAGCCCCTTCCATAGGCAGGTTTAATAGAACACACAAATCAGTGGGGGGACCCCTGTAGAATGCATCTCAAATTATGCAAAATATGAAGCCACGTGCTACTGGTCGGGGAAAATCTTGCCCTTTGAGTCAAGTGCACCTGGGTTCAAGTCCTGACCCTGTGCCTCTTACTAGGTGGTAATTTGGGGTGGTTATCAGAGCTCTTGAGTCTCAGTTCTTTATCTGAAAAAATCAGAGAAAACACTCCCTACCTAACCAAATGAAACTAAGTTTAAAGAAGATAACATTTGTAAAGCTGGTAGCTTAGCTGCTCAGTTACAGTTAGGCCCTCTCCTACTTGCTGCTGCCTGGATTTCTTTTTTTCTCTTCTTTCTTTCTTTTTTTTTTTTTTTTGAGATGAAGTCTCACTCAGTCACCCCCAGGCTGGAGTGCCATGGCTTGATTTTGGCTCACTGCAATCTCCACCTCCCAGCTTCCAGCAATTCTCCTGCCTCAGCCTCCCGAGTAACTAGGAGTATAGCACGTACCACCACACCAAGCTAATTTTTGTATTTTTAGTAGAGACAAAGTTCTGCCATGTTGGCCAGGCTGGTCTCGAACTCCCGACCCCAGGTAATCCACCTGCCTCGGCCTCCCAAAGTCCTGGGATTACAAGCCTGGATTGTTTTTACCTTGGAACAAAGGGTACAATTACAGGGAAGGCTTAAATGACATGAGCAGCACATTTGCTAAGGTAATCAGTGATTGGACAAACATGAAATACCCAGGAAATCTTAGTCTGGCCAATACAAGATTCTGAGCGCTTTAGATGTTCAGCAAGAAGGGCATCTTTAGTCTGATTAGAGGTTAAAGGGAGCAAGAAAGGATGAGGGAGGGGAGGCCAGCACAATACATGTTTCAATAGAAACATAACGCAAGCTACATGTGTAATTTAAAATGTTCTAGTAGCCACACCTAAGAAGTAAAAGGAAGCATGTATCAGTATTTTTCTTTTTTTTTTTGAGACAGAGTCTTGCTCTGTTGCCCAGGCTGGAGTGCAGTGGTGCAAACTCGGCTCACAGCAATGTCCGTCTCCCAGGCTGAAGCATTTCTCCTGCCTCAGCCTCTCAGGTAGCTGGGATTATAGGCACAAGCCACCACGCCCAGCTAATTTTTGTATTTTTAGTAGAGAAGGGGTTTCACCATGTTGGCTAGGCTGGTTTCCAACTCCTGACCTCAAGTGATCTGCCTGCCTCAGCCTCCCAAGGTGCTGATATTGCAGGTGAGAGCCACAGGCGAGAGCCACCCAGCCCAGCCAGTAATCTTAACAGTACATTTTGTTTAACCCAATATATCAAAATGCCATTATATCAATTTGTTCACAAAAAAAATTGGTATTTTTTGTTCTTTTTTCCTACTGAGTCTTCAAAATTGGGGTGTATTTTACACTTGGAGTACACTTCAAGTGCTCACCACCCTCGATGGCACAGGTGTAGACACATAGGCAAATCCCCACATTCATCCACTGTGCTGGGTGTTGGGAAGCCAAAAAGTCTAGATTAGAGCATGGGTTTGTCCACAAGGGACTCAGTTTCTAGTTTGGTATCTAGAACAGACGGAGAACATTCATCCAACAGTGTACATTTGCCTGTAGGTTCCCACACTGCTTAGCATAAGGTAACCTACAGCTCAAGCCTTTTCCTATAAGCCTTAGGCATACCTCAACCACAATGTTCCTTCCTATGGTTGACACAAGCAGTTGTCAGATGATGTAATTGATTTGGGGCTTTGGGACATCCAGCACCCTAGAAAACAGTTCAAGGGAAGGGGGGGATGTCTTGCTTTCTAATCCCTTTAGGCTACCGAGTGCCCACTTTATACTGTGTCAGCCCAAATTCCAGACAAGTAGGAAAGAAACTGAAAGAGAAGTCTCAACCCTGCACAGAATGTTTACCTGTCTCCTGGGGCAGCAGCGGCAGCAGGAGGAGCCATCCGCGTTGAAAAGGCAGCGTCTCTCACTGCCAGCTGCACCCACCCTGCCCTGTCTCTTTCCCTTGCCCCTCCCTTGAGAGCCTCCTCTTCATTTCCTCTACTGCCTGGCTCAACTCACAGGGAGACTCCCACCACCCCTCAGTGAAAAGCCAGTGGCTGATTTGGCTTGCAGAGCAATCTTCATGCTGCGCAGGCATAAGGCTCAGCAAAACCAGAAATTGAGGTTTGCTTTAGATTCCCTAGCATTTTCTGAAAAGCCCTTTTCCCCTTTATGCAATCCCACCCCTGTAGACTCATCTCAGATAACACAAAAATGAAGCCATGTGCTGCTGGTGGGGGAAACAATCAGTTTAAGGAAGAACCAGGTTCTTCCTCAGTGATTTCTGCTGAGACATGAATTCATACTAAGAAGTTAATGACTTTCCAGGCATATTTGCATTTTTAAATGACTGATTAATAATTTTAAAAAAGGAGAGCTCAAATGTCTTGAGTGCTTCCTAGCTAGTGGGCACTGTGCCAAAAGAATGATGCCTCACTCCAGGGAATGACCAGACAATGGTGGCATTGCAAGCAAGGTGGCACAGGTGGAGCAGAGGTCTCTTCCTGGTGCTTTCAGTAGACAATTCCTATGCAGCCCTAACATGAGGGACCATCAGTGAGGACATAAGACAGCTGCACTTTTTTTCTCCCTTAACATTTAAATTTTAGCACCATTTTCTTTGTTTATGGATTGAGGGTAGAGGAATTAAATTTGTTTTCGTCCATCCATTCATTCAACAACCATTTATTGAGTGCCTACTCTGAGCCAGGCATTGGACTAGGTGCTGGGGACATAGCAATGATCAAGACAGGTGAAGCTCTGCTGTCATGAAACTTACAATGCATGCAACACGGGAAAGACAGGCAGTAAGCAAAGAAATAGAACAAGAGAATTATAGGCTATGATCATCCCGTAAACAAAATGAACAAGGGGGTGTGATAGAGGAATCCAGGGAGTAGGATGGAGGCTCTTTAGATCCAGGCTGCGTAGGGAAGGTCCTGGAGGAGGTCATGTGGTTTTATTGCATCCCCACTGGTGCTCCTTCTTGGCCTCCTTGGCTCCCTCTTCCTCCTTCCTCCACCGGCAGGCTTCAGAGAACAGTCCTGCGGCTTCTCCTTCATCCACAAACTCTCACAGGGTGCTCTTGGCCAGTTTCAAGGTTCTAACCAGTTTCTATACACTGATACCTCCCAGAATAATATCTCCAGCGCTAACAAGCATGATGATCACCAGACCCACACATTCAAGAGTCAAGCTGGTATCATCGCTGAAAAGTCTGCCGGCATCTCAAACTTGATAAGCCCAAATGGGCCTCTCCACTCTCTTCCTCCAACCTGTTCATGCTGCCTCAATCGCTGTACTCTGTAAACTATCCACCTAATGGCTCAAACCAAAAAGCTGAGGAGTCACTATTTTTTCATTGTATTTTAAATTGTTTTTGAATAAGTAATTGTGGTAGGCAAAATAACGGCCCCCAAACATGCTCATATGTAATTCCTAGAATCTGTTAATATGTGACTTTACATGGCATAAAGGATTCTGTAAATGTAATTAAATTAAGACCCTCAAGGTGAGTTATTTTGGATTATCTGGGTGGATTGAAACTAGACAGGGATATTTAAGAGTGGGTAACCTTTCCTCTCTGTGGTCAGAGGGAGACGTGAATTTGGGAGAAGAGTCAGAGACATGCGACTCTGCTGACTGTGAAGACAGAGGACAGGGCCATGAGCCACAGCCTGCAGGCAGCCTCTAGAAGCTAGAAAAGGCCAAGAAACAGTCTCTCCTCCAGCCTCCAGAAATGAATGCAGCTCACCAGTCCCTTTATTTTAGCCCAGTGAGACCTGTGTCTAACTTCTATCCTACAGAACTGTAAAATAATAAATTTGTACTGCTTTAAGCCACTATATTTGTGATCATTTGTTATAGCAGTAATACAAAACGAATAAAGCAACATAGTCACATGCCTCAAAATTCGGAGAGTACAAAATAGTAGACAATAAACTTCCTTCTCACCCTGCCCTCACCCACCCACTTTTCCCCAAAAGTACCTAATGCTGCCGACTTCTTGGTATATCCTTCCAGAGACATCCTATTCATATATAAGCAAATGGGGCTTTTCCTTGTATTTCATGTAAATGATAGCATACTATACATACTGTTCTAAAGTTTTCAAGTCAACAATATGATCTATTGGTTTTTCTCTGGAGCTTTTTCATTGTTTTAACCTGCAGAGATGTATTATTTAGCCATCTCTTATTGTTGGCTGTTTCTAAGCTTTTTATCACAAACAATGTTCTATACAGCAATAACCTTGAATGTGCAGCATTTCACACAGGACTAAGTGTGCCAGTAAGACAAATCCAGGAGTCACCTCTGATTCTTCCTTTCCTTCATCCCGGTCTAATCTGCTAGCCTGTCCTGTGGGTTCTATCTCCAAAACAAACCTCAGCCCACCACGTCTTTCCTTGTCCACCATCCCCACTCTTTTCTAAGCCATCACTATCTCTTGCCTGGGCTACGAACTCTGAGATTCCTCTACTTGTGTCTTGCTCTTTTGAGGAAGAGTCCTCTTGAGGTCTCAGATTTTTGTTTCTGAAATAGAATCAATAAAGCTAAGTATCCAGATGATTTTTCTGTGAATGAGTGAGTGGTGTTTGCCAAGACATCAGTCACGGGGTTTCATTTGGAGGTTCTCCTATAAAAGAAGCTTGTTAAACCTGAAAGGAAGATCAGATGAGTGTCTCTGTGTCTTGGAACAGACATAACTTTAATTGCATCTTTAATATGTGTTTTCCTTCTGTAGGTTTCCAGAGCACTTAATGGGCTGGGAACAAGACCATAGTCTTTAGGAATGGAGACAAATTCACCTTAAATAAGAACCTACGATGAAAGTTCTGCCTTTACCCTACTTTGCCACAGCCTAAATCCTTCCCTGAAGGCTCCTTGAGGAAGTTCCAGGATGGAAACTGATTCAGAAAGTCTGGCAGTCCTGGTACAGGAATTCAAACATTCAAGAAAGGAGCCCTGGGTCGGGCACGGTGGCTCATACCTGTAATCCCAGCACTTTGGGAGGCCAAGGCAGGCAGATCACAAGGTCGAGAGATGGAGACCATCCTGGCCAACATGGTAAAACTTCGTCTCTACTAAAAATACAAAAATTAGCTGGGCATGGTGGCGCATGCCTGTAGTCCCAGCTACTTGGCAGGCTGAGGCAAGAGAATCTCTGGAACCCAGGAGGCGGAGGTTGCAGCGAGCTGAGATCATGCCACTGCACTCCAGTCTGGCAACAGAGCAAGATTCCATCTCAAAAAAATAAAAAATAAAAATAAATAAAGAAAAAGAAAGGAGCACTGCAGAGGGAGGCCCCTTCACTATAAAAAAAGAAAACTCATGGAGACTAACGGAGGAATTAGACTAAGGAATTAGATTTATGACACATTTGCCAAGGTATACTCTCTCTTCTTATAATAAAATGTTAATTATTTATTCAGCTTTTACTGTGTGCCATGCATTTCCACATATGCTTTTAATCTTCCTAATAACTCCATTTTACAGGTAACGAAACTGAGAGTCAGAGCATGTTTTGATTTTGTACGCTTTCAGTCGCTGAGTCCCTGATCACAGAGTAAGGACAGATGGAAGCTTCATCGACTGTCCTGAACAATTACATACACATCAGGGCGAGCGACCTTCGGAATGCATTTCAGTCTTTCAATATACACAATAACATCTATATGTACTATTCGTGGCAGCTGAGAGTTCTGTTGAAGATCGCAGATTCTTTTGAGACAGAGTCTCGTTCTGTTGCCCAGGCTGGAGTGCAGTGGCACAATCTCACCTCACTGCAACTTCAGCCTCCCAGGTTCAAGCGACTCTCATGCCTTGGCCTCCTGAGTAACTGGGGCTACAGGTGCATGACATTGTGCCGGGTTAATTTTTGTATTTTTGGTAGACAGGGTTTTGCCATGTTGACCAGGCTAGTTTCCAGCTCCTGAACTCAAGTGATCCACCCCCTCAGCCTCCCAAAGTGCTGGGATTGCAGATGTGAGCCACCTCGCCCAGCCAAGATTACAGACGTTATAGAGAGACTTCCTGAGCTTCAGCATGCATAGTTCTTTGATTACCCGCTGTGTGGCCTTGGACAAATTCCTTTCCCTCTCTGGGCCTGTTTCCTATTACATTTAAAGCACTTAGAGCAGTGCATGGCATAAAGTGGAACCTGGCCAGGCTACCCGTAGTGAGGGCTTACTTGGTGTCAAGCACTGGGCTGTGTAATATATAGAGATCACTCATCCTGAAGATGGTCTCATGGAATCTTCAGATCATTCTGCAAGGAAATAATTCTTTCTTTTCAGTACTGAAGGAATCTGAAGCTCCAGAATATCCCCAATGTCACACAATCATCTGTTAAGTGGGAGCGTTAGGAATTCAGAACTTGCTTTGTCTGCTTCCAAAGCCTGGGCTCAGTAACAAGCAAAGAGGATGGTGTTGTTAGCGCGCAGTCCTGCTTTTTGGCAAACTCGAGGCATGAGCTGCTCTTCCTGTTTACGGCACAGACACATAATCCCCCGCCACACAGACACGTTTCTCATTCAAGTGAGAAACTTCCCCAGTGCCTGCGCCCTCTGCTGACTGTGCTGCAGCAATGTCTGGTCTGAAAGGCACTTTCCTGGGGTAGAATTGCTGGTGGTTTTGGAAATGACTCCAACAAATTGAATCCTTGACATGGAGAGACACTAAAGACATTGGCTCTCTCTTGTTTCCAGTTGCATGAAAACAAGACACATGGAAAAAGTAAGCGTTTAGGGCCAGGTACTCTCTTCTGGCAATTAAAAAAATGGTTTGAGCACCTTCAATTTTATTTTTTCAGAATTACATGTGGAGGGTGGGGGGTTGAAGAAAGGTACATGTGTGATTTTTGCACATATACAGTAATCAACCTTGCTGAAAGGCTCCATGAAGGCAAAATAGAAAATGTTTGCCAAAATATGCAATGAGAAGATATGTCA